TTCAATCGCCTTACATACATGTAAGTAATCAGCTGAGAAAGCTTCATGGTGACATTTATTAGTTTTACTCTTTTCACTTGTAGTGTGTCCCCGTAAGGCTTGTAATATTCTATATTTTTCGTAATACCAACAAATCCCCCCAAAAAAACATGAATGATTTGATCCTATTAGAAATTTTCTGTTTAGGTCTGATTAGCTTATTCCTTTGTGCCTCCATTGCTGCCCAGAATCTATTAAAAACACATCAATGAGCCACATGTATTGGTTGACATGTTTTTCCTTAGCCTAAATATTCACTAAAGCATTTTAATCTACAGCTGAAAATGGTCTCCAAAAAAGCACTATTTACTTCTGTTTGAGTAATGTTTGTTAAAAAATATCAACACTAACGTTCCCATCTGTTTTAGAAAAATGTAAAGCTTATATAGTTTAATAAAATCTACATTTTTGTGACCTGTTTTTAAAGATTTACATCTTAAGGAGACACAGAGGGCTTGGGTCTAAGAGCCACAGACATGGTCAGGAGGTTTGGATTAATGCACTATTGATTTGGGCTTTTCCATGAGAAAAGAGATTTTCTTGATCATACAAAGCATATAAGAACAAGCCTTATAGTTATTGTCAGACATATTGTCATTGGTATGCTCTGTCAAAATCTGTCCTGCTGTCTTCTTTTCATTCACACAGGTTGAGAAACTCGACCCTAAACTGAACTATTGTGTTTATTTGTTTTAGTGTCAGGACTCTATTACTGCAGCAGAAGACATCAAACCCAACTCAGTTCACATGGCTCTGCAGATCCCACAGTACTTCTTCATAACTACTGGTGAAGTGATGTTTTCTGTTACTGGTCTGGAGTTCTCCTACTCACAGGTAAAACTGTTACAGCATACATTTTCACACCTGATTTCAGTGTTGCACCATCAAAGTTGTAGGACGCAGCACATGAAAACGTTTGATTCTGTTTGTCTTTGAACTATATAATAGATCTTTATTCTTTGTTTTCAGTTGTACTCATCTTTTGTTCTTCTTTTGTGTCCTCAAGGCGCCTAGTAATATGAAAGCAGTGCTGCAAGCAGGCTGGTTGTTCACTGTTGCTATTGGCAACTTCATCGTACTGATCGTGGCTGAGCTTGCAAAGATTCCCAAGCAGGTAAAAAACCAAATCAAAACTCAAGCCTAAACCTTAGAGACTAAAAATAAAAGCTATTACTGGTGGACATGTAGTGACCGTGTCATGTGATGATGCCTTCTGTCTCTCTTCCTCCTTTAAAGTGGGCAGAGTACGTCCTGTTTGCCTCCCTCTTGGTTGCAGTTTGCGTCATCTTCTCCATCATGGCGTATTTCTACACCTACATCGATCCTACAGAAATCGAGGCCGAGTTCAAGAACAAGGATAATAAGGAGGATGAGGATGAGGATGATAAACGCAAGCTACAGAAGGCAGAGATTGAGATGGTCAAGAAAGGCTCAGTTAGCAGTGACTCGAGTAAAAGTCACAAAGATGACGATGATCCACGCAATCAGACCAAAATGTGAACACCCGAAAAAGCAGATTAGATATCCTTAATGCGTGTGTGTGTGTGTGTGTGCGCGCGATCGTGTGTATGTTTTTAACATTTTATATTTTAATGCCCAAATGACTGCTGTGAGCAAGCAAGTTTTGTCATTATATTCAGTACAACAGATTCACGTTAGCTGTAGAGTTACAACAACAGATGAACTATTAACATGTTGGATGTAATTGCTTTCATATTTATGTGTAAGTTGTGTTTAAGTAGGAATAAAATAAGTCCTGTTTGTGTTCTTCCACTTGTTATTCTTGTGATCTTTTGCTATAAATCCACTGAGCATGTAACTCTCATGTTCATAGCACTGTACCAACCTGATATAAAATCTTCAGCTTTATAACTTGTTCAATGCAGTAGATGCGTTTCGTTAGTACTGAATGTCCTATTGTGTGTCAAAAAAGGAATGTACTGCAGCCCATCAGGTCAGCAAGGGAGCTGTGAGCTCCCAAACTGACCGAAAATAAGTGGTTTTTATTACTTGAGTTTGAAAGTTCAATACTTCACCTTGGACATTGTTTTCTCAAATTAGGTTTCCATATTTTATTGTATCTTTCAACTGCATGTCCTCATCATCAGATGGAGTATGCTCAATTTGAGGGACGGAGTTTATGTCGACTTTTTGATTCCGATATTGTATCATGGATGTCTTTGTGATGATGCGATAAAAATATCCAGTAATGTATAGCAACAACATTTTAGGTCTGATGCCACTAAATCCCCCTAAATCTTACATACATTGTGACTTGTTGATAACATTATTAATGGCTCTGTTGCATTCAGTGTCAGTGAGCCAGGATGCACAATATCAGGGTCTCCCATAAGTAGAACCCACCATCATAAATGGTATAACAAACACCTGTGCTTTTTTTACTATGACATGTCAAAATTTCTCCTGCGAAAAAGGTCTACAGGACAGTGAACCAGCATGCACAATAACAAGACCCTGAAACTGAAGCAGCTACTGGGGCTTGCCTGGGGCTTGTTGTAACAGTAAATGGGATGTGTTGTAACTTGTGCAGCCTAAGTTAAACTGTGTCTGTGTCAGTGAACATCTTACCCTGCAATGCGCAATGTGGGCAGCGGTTCTAGCCACACGCTGCTACTGCTGCCAAGCAGCCCTGCCCGTTGGAAAGAGTATGGGATATACCGCTACTAGGAATGGGAGGGACTAAATCTTTTAAGATTTAAATAGCACATTATTGCGCGATTATAATGAGCACAGCTTACATTGTGCTTTCAATAAATACTACTGCATTGTTCAAAAATTATTAATTGTGTCTCAAATGATTCTAGGGGTTGTACAGCTTTACTGAAGGGGGAGCCATGTCCCCCCTGTCCCCCCCGGGATTTCCGCCCCTGTGTGCTTTTACTGTTGTGACATGCCTTAATGCTGTCCATGAAAAAGTCCAATCCAGTTCTTGTCATCTCAGAAACCCTTTAGACTGTAATGTGTATCTGAGATGACAAAAACAGGTTCTGTGATACTAACTGAAGTAATTTTTAATATCAACTGGCCCCAAGGCTTCCTGTGTCTCAGTTAGTTTGTGTGGTAACTTGATTACATAAAGCTTTACTTTCACATGAGCACAGCTGATCACAGCCCTGACTCACCAGCAGGAGCAGTCCTGGAGGAACAGTGTGTGAGATTTAGGGGGATTTAGTGACATCTAGTGGTGAGGATTGCAGATTGCAAACAGCTGAAACTTCTCCCAGTTAGTAGGTATTCCAGGAGCTGCATTATCTACAGAGGTCTCTTCCTTTCCAAAACAAACAGACCTGGAGATTTAAACCGATCAAAGCACTGAATAAAGCGGTTTAAGATTTAAAAAATCTGTTTTTTTGTGACACTCTCTTTGGGGAGGGGCTGCAAAGTATGGTGGGCAATGTGAAAACGCAAATGGCCCTATCTAGAGCCAGTGTTTGGTTTGTCTGATCTGGGCTACTGTAGAAACACAGCGATAGAACATGGCAATCTTTGTAAATGAGGACCCACTCTCTATCCTCCTGAGATCCGAACTTTTGGTTAGTATGCACTTTTAATTTCTCCTAGCTATTTGGGATCAGTAGGACCCAATAAATATAAAAAACTAAACACTGTCAACGATAATTAGGTCCCAATGTCCTCAAACGAGACGATAATGAAGTCCCAATGTTTTTAAATGAATACTTCCTAATAAACAGCGTCTTAGCGTCAAATGTGTTGCCATACCAAACTACAAACATTATTATAAAAAAACAAGTTTCAACCATTAAATGTGATCAGATTTTAGACCTTGTGCACTTTTGTGTCGGGGTCGGTTGCAGACTAGTCTCACTCACCAGACCTTTCTCAAGAAAAGAAAGCTGCAGACTGATTTGGTAGAGATTGCTGCCATCTTGTTTTTACATGGATTAGTGTGTTGTGCTCTTTCTACCACTAGATGGCACAAAGGTGTCCACAAACGCGGACAACAGGTCTAATGCTGCATTCTATTGGTAGCCGGAACCGGGATTGATGCGGTTTCCGGTCCGGAAAGGTACAAAAGAACACCCGTTCTACCCGGAGGTCTCTTCATCAAACAAGCAAGGTCCAGGTAGACCGAGTCGGTAGAATTGACGTCATGACGAAGATGGCTGCGCACATTGTGAATGGTAAACAAAGTTATTTGTCCTCATATATACTGTTTAATTAAGCGTTTGTGTTGTAAAAATCATACAAGCATTTTGCAATGGCATTTCTGTTTCCACTGTTGATTTGTGTTGGAAAAAAAGTCTGTGCAAGCCCATTGTAGCCTAAAGTCGTTTGAACCAGCAAAGTCTCTGTTGCTCAGCAACCATGCAAACAAAAACAAACTTACGGCGCGCCGCCATGTTTTCGTACTGTTGCAATGAAACGCTTTCAGATCAGACGTGTCATATGGTCATATCAATCCGACAAGGAATGACCGGTCTGGATTGCCAAACGAATGCGGCATAACTTAAGTAAAATGAAGTATGAGGTCAAGTAAACCCACGTGATGTCCCCAAACGAGGACACAGGGTCTCAGGATACAAACGTCACATTCTAAAGTAATGAAAATCCAACTATTCTTTTTTAGGTCAATATACACTAGAGAAAACATACTTATTATATTATTTTCCAGTTCTGTCTATATCCCTCTCAATCCTACACTCTGTACCTAATTAAATATATTTATTATTTCAAATGAGATACCTGTATGGGAACGATTTGTGTTCATAAATCAAAGACCAGGCAAGAAACACCTGCTTATAGGATTATAGGATAAATCTAATTTTGCAGTGAGTCTGTCCACGTAGTTATTATGAAACTGGCACCTGTGTGAACTTCCTTCCTCCTCTGTGACGCTTTTTGATTTACGAATGACGACATAAGCACCGTCGACTCTATTTCACTCTGATTGGTCCTCCAGAAAATGAAAATGACATTAAGCAAGATGGCGCTGGGCGACAGAGAAAAGTGATGAGAGAATAGAACAACAAGCGATACAACTAAATAACAGTGAGCATTTATTTACCCTGTGCGACTGTTTTAAAACCGGACCGCTATCTTATCACCTGGAAGCTGCCAGGCACCTACGGAGAGACCGCACCGGTCTACGGAGATACAATTTATCAGCCAACTGTTTGCTAACTAGCTGCTAAAGTAGCTAGCATAGCTAACGTTCGCTAACTGCGGAAGGCGAGTGAGGAGAAGGCTGGCAGGCGGCTCGAAGTAACGTTACAAATCGACAAGTCGAGCAGCTGATTTAAAAACAAGCAACCTGTCCGTGTGATACATCAACTACCAGTACAGAGTTTGTGGCACGGACCGGGTCATCCTAACCAGGGGTCGGCGAGGAAACACCTCTGATAAGGAAGGCAGAAAAAGACGAGAGGCGTCATCTTTGCTGATCTGACGCCATGGCTCATTCCCCTATTCAGAGCGGACTGCCGGGGATCCAGGTGAATACAGTTTAATGTGTTATTAGCTAACTTTCAGAGGCAAGTTTTGGTTCAGAGCCAACCGACATTTTACTGTCGTTTCCTTGTTCCCTTGTTACGTTACCCTCAGCTCGGAAGTTCAACTCGGTGTCTGTAAATAACTTTATCTGCAGGAACACTGCATCATTATCACGTTAAACGCTATCGTATTTGCTTTCCGAAGATAAAAGCACCTATTTGTCAAAGTCCAGTGTGACTGACTGAGATAAGAAGGCGGGGGTCTTGTTTGTCTGTTTGTTGTCACACCTAACATGTGCTGAATGACCTACAGGCTGTCAAATTAAAGATGCACAATTTAGCTCTCACTCCTTTATAAAGGAACAGAATCACAATTGACGCACAAGTTGGCATCTAAGGGACTGTTCTTTATTTATCAGAGGGATGCTGGGGTGTGACTTTGTTGTTGTTATTGTTGTTGTTGTGTGTTTGTATTCTTTTACCCACCTCCAAGCTACAAATATTTTTCCTGGATTCTCCTGAGTGATGGAAAATGCATGACCCTCCCATTGGATTTTCAAAACGTACCCTTTATTGTTTTATTGTCAAAAGCTGAAGAAATCCTGGAGTTGAAAAAAGCCAATTTTTTCTTTTGTTTTAACTTTTGTCATGCATTCTGGTTAGTTAGTAAATTTAGGCCAAATTTTAAATGAGACATAGAATAAAATGATTTTAATCAAATGTAACTGTTGTAAGCTCACATTTGGTCATGTTTTTTGTTTTGTTTTTGTTGTTTTTTTTTCTGACAGAAGCCTTTGTCAAACACGATGTGTCCAAGGACTATTGGAAATTTGATAATTTCCATTCTTACAGTTTCTTGTTGTGGTAAATGGTGTAATTTTGGCGATTTGTAAAGAAAGCATGTCTTCCAAACCTGGCTGCCATGTTTTCTTTGAAAATCAGCAGTAAAATAAATACAAATACAACCATTTAAATTTGTATGCCCCTCCCCAAAGCCCAAATAAAAAACATAAGTCCCTCCCCAGTGCTTAAAAAAATATTTGACATGCCTCCCCCTTTTTGCACCGCCCTCTCCCACCTCATTAGTAAAGAACAGTCCCTAACTTGCTATTTAGCCCATGCCAACTGTTGTACATTTGACTAGCAGTGCATAACTTAAAGATATTTAGATTATGTAATGTAAGACACGAAAAAGTAGGAAATTCTCACATTTAAAAAGCTGGAAACAGCAACTGCTTTACATTTTATCTTGAAAAATGAACAATTATCATAATGGTGATCAACTATTTAGTCAATTTACTAATTGTTTCAGCTCTATTAATTTCCCAGACCTGCTTCACATGCAGTACACTATCTGTGTATTTACTTTTTGCAGTTGTTATATCATGTTATGAGCCCTGTTTTATTATACTCTAAGCAGTCCATTTATCATATCTATTGGTTTTGACTTTTGTTGTCATTATTGATTAATCTGGCAAAAATTGGTGCAAAATAGTTGGTGCATTAAAAGTCAGAAAATGGTTAAGAACATGCAGCTAATAATTACCTTAATTAAAGATTAATCTGGCAAATCTAAAGGTCTATAATATCTCAGAGAAGAGTGAGAAACCTCCAATGCAGTTTTCTTAAGTCAACCCAAGGTGAAGAGGAGGTTGTTTTGTCAGGCCAACAGTAAAGATATTTAGTTTACAGTGAAATGAAACAGAGAAAAGCAGCCAGTCTTCAGATCTGAGATGCTGAAATAGAGAATGTTGGAAAGTTTGTGTGATAAATGAATTAAATGATTAATTAATTATAAAATAGTTGCTGTTTATTGATTCACTAACCAATTAAGTGACTAATAATCATGCTAGTTACGTCAAATGACTTGCTTTTTGTCAATCAACCTGTCAAAATCTTTACATGGTCAGTTTACTGTCACAAGAAATAGTTGCTGGTTAATATTCTGTTGATAGTCTGATAAATTATTTCAAGGTTTCAGCTCTAGGTTTGATATCACCGCTTTTTGACAGTTTTATTGTTATTGTAGTGTGATTGTAATTTTTTTTTATTGTCCCTTGTTAAACTTAAGTATTTTCAGAGAAATGTTGAACCAGCCACTAGCTGGCAGTCAGTGCATGTCCTGCTTGAAGACTTGAATTAAAGTAGGCCACACTAGCACCCATGTAAGAATGACAACCTCCTGGGGTGATATAATCAATACATGCATGATCATTACATTGATGACTGCACACAATAGTACTCTTTCTGTTAAGTTAGTATTGCTTCATTAGCACATGCACTGACAAATACAGGTATAGATGGTATTAAACACATCAGAGTCCAGAGGATACTATACAGAGGAGAGTGAGCATTTGGGAGGCTGGCAGTGAGCGTCCAACCCTGAGGGTGCGGTGCGTGGATGACACTAGACTACACAGTTGTGTGGTGCAGATGGGAGAGCATCAAACACATGCTTTTAGAGCGAGGTTCAGGCAGCTTTAGCTGTCGCAGTAAACCTGCTGACTGTGGATATGGCAAGTACATTCCCATCATGTGTAGTCTGTGGTCGCAGCGCCCTTGTTGTTTTTCACTTTGTTTTTACAGAGGTCAGCCTCGACATTATAATTTTCACCTGGATGACTGACCACACCAGTGTTATGATAGTATTTTGGTTGTGTTGTTTCTACTCTGTTTTATTCTGCACCGCTCGGTCACTTTGTCTTTGTTGTAAAGGCCCTTTGCTATCAAATTCAGCAGCCACCTCTTTGCCAATTTTTGCAAAGTGCAGCTGCTCATCTCGCCCTCCATATAGGTTTGACCACCATGCATTAGTACTTTTACAGGAAACTGTTCTCTTGGAGGGGGGCTGTAAAGCAATATGCTATGTGAGCCAATAGATCATCGTCTTAGGGATGGGTTACCTGGTAAATTAAGCTTTGGGCTTAATTGCTTTACTTCATTATTATTATTAAAGCTGCTGCAAAAATATGATTTTCTTCAGTTTAATTCTTCACATTACACAGTGTGGTGATTTAATAGAAATGCAACGTTTTCAGAATAGACACATTTTGTGTTATATTTTTCATGGACTTTACAACACTACAAACTCAGATGGTTTAGGCTAATGATTGCTGCATGAAAGGAAGTTGAACTGGCCAACCTGAAGACCATTATTCCCTCCCTGCAGCTCCATGGGGAAATAAGCCATTTAGTTCAGTCAATACGTTAGGGTGTAGTCCTTCAATTTCTGTTTAGCCGTTGTTGTGGAGGTTATGAAGCCGAAGTTACATCTGTGCTACATTGTCTTGTGATTTTAGTGTCACTCACAGCCACACAAATTTGTCAGGGAATTTAAAAAAAAATTGTCTAGATGCAGAAGTCGAGGTCAGGCTGAAATGCAGAATTTGAACAGGGCTGTTTGTCTGTCAATAGAGGATGAAATTAAAGGTTTTGATTAGATTAAAAGTTCTGTGCTGCTCTATGCTCTGTGGCTGATTCGGATGTTGGTCCTCGATACCACACATTGCTTGAGTTAAAAGCAGGATAGCCACTAAGTTGCACAATTGTTGATGTACTTCCTTTGTGCCATAAGTGAAGCCTTCATTTTACCAGATTGTACTTGGTGGCAGACAGAATTGCACATAGAAAGCAAGGCTTATAGGGAGTTTAAATGCTGATGATGTTGTTATTCTACAGCCATTACATTCTGCAATTAACATTTGGACATTTGCACTTTGTTCATGCTCTAATGAAAAGAGTATGTCTTTGACCCTGTCAAAACTTTGCTGCCACAGTCATTCCAGATTGACACCCTTCTCACCGCAGACACTATGAAACACTGAAGGAAACCATTAAAAGAGAGCTGTTAGGCAGGCTGTTTTTCTTTTCACCCCTGATTTTACGCATTAAGACCAGTTTACTAGTCATGGTTAGTAGGTACTACTCACCAACTCTGGAGGGGTTTTCTAAAGTGTAAGAAATAACTTTGATGATAGTCAGTGGAGGCTGACTCAGCGTGGGCTTTGTGACTATACATTTATGACCGAAAAACCTACATGAAGGGAATAGAGTTTGAAAGATAATAACATTTACCCAGAGAGGATCAGGGTCTCATTTATAACTTCTTGTTTGTGCACAAAAGGCACAGGCTTCTTCTGTGAGTCGAGCTTGAACAATTGGTCGATCGGTGGATCAGTCAATTGGTACAAAATTAACAAGCAACAACTTTGATAACTGAATAACCATTTGAGTCATTTTTTTTAAGCGAACATGCCAAACATTTTCAGGTTTTCGAATGTTTCAAATTGCTGCTTTTTATTGTCTAACATAAAAGCAGGTTGAAAATTGTTTGGATTTTGACTGTTGGTCAGACCCAAGAACACATTTTGATGTCACAATTGGCTCTTGGAAAGCAAGAAGGGTATTTTTCCCTATTTTCTGACATTTTGTAGACAAAGCAATTCATCAGAAAAATTGTCTGCAGATTCATTAATAATGACAATTATTTTGAGTGGCAGCCCTGATGGTGGGGCTCGGGTTGCAAGGTTTGTAAAAATCCATTTTTAGATTATAATAAATCAACGTCACAGCATGAAAGTTCAGTGATTATTAGTTCTTACTAAAGTATGTGTGTATCCTAGGTTTTAAAAATAACAGTGCATGACAGTTTGCAAGATATCAAGACGGCCAGAAAGAGCTTAGGTGCTTGAATGTTGAGCTGTGGGCCTGTGTAACAACAGCTTGAATACCTGTAATTGAACCTCCTGTATCTGTATGTGAAACCTGTCTGTTGCTTGTGGTTCTACGTTACTTAAATACACTCTGTTCTTTCTCTCCCCATCCATCTCTCTGTCACACAGAACTTCAGAGCTGATCCAGAGGAGTATTTTACCAAGCTGGACAGAATAGGCAAAGGCTCTTTTGGTGAAGTTTTTAAAGGCATCGACTGTCGGACTCAGAAAGTTGTGGCCATTAAAATTATTGATCTGGAAGAAGCGGAGGATGAAATAGAGGACATTCAACAGGAGATCACAGTCCTCAGCCAGTGTGACAGTCCCTTCATCACCAAGTATTATGGATCATACCTAAAGGTAAGCTTTAGCCTCAGGAAGAATGTCATTGTCTTTCTGTAATAGCCCATGTTCGACATAATGCATATGTGAGCAGTGTGTTCCTGCAAGCGAGTGTACACTATGTAGGTCAATAAATAATGCATATGGACAATGGAGCAAGTATTGCCTGTGTAATATTGCACAGATTGCCGTTGAACAACATGAAATAGGCCGACTTTGCTGTAGTACACAGCTTGAGGGCTTTTAACAGTGCAATCTGTAAGTATTCAGACATAGACATATGTTTTATTATTTTTATTCTGTACTCCAACAGATTGGATTTGAAATAAAACATTGACAATGAGATCAGTGTGTCAAATTTCAGCTTCAATATCAGGGTGGTCATGTGCATTTACAGTGTAGGAATTATAACCTTTGTATACATAGAAAGTGCAGCATGGCACTTATATAGGGGTGCAGATTGGGCAGTACTCATCTGATGTGAACGTGATCACCCTTAAAGCTGAAAGTCAGCTTTTCTTACATCTCTGTAGTTATAGACTTTCAGTCATGCTACGTGTGATGGTGCTTAGAGTGCCTCTCACAGCGCTTATGGTACTTAACAGCAGCGAGGAGAGAAGTGGTGGTCCATTAGCTCAAGATATACTGCTGGGTGAAGGAGGGAATTAAGGCTTACTTGTGTGTAGTATGTAACCATGGTGTTTGTGCTGTGTTCATGTATGTATTTGTGTGTGTTACAAGACTTTAAAGTCGTAGTGTTAAGATCTACAGTTTTCTAGTTCGGCCACGTCTTGAACGCTCTGCCCTTAGAACTGATCACTAAGGTTTGTTTCTGTTAATTTAGGTTTTTCTCATCAGGTCAGTAGTGGTGGGTGTCAATGGGCAGCAGTGGTGGCAGCCATTGATCATGCTAATGGCAGTGTCATTTATTCCAAACAAACTGCTTGTGCCGCTGGAAACAGAGCATGCATCAATAAGTTTGTGCCGGAGGATTTTTATCACATAGGATGTCTCGCCAGTGTGTGTGTGTTAACAACAACAAAAAAAAGAGGAAGATGTAGGGCAAAGATACTGTGAAAGGGACAGGTGCATGCTGGTGTTCTAGAAACCACTAAACTTTAATTATTGTACATGTCCTGCTGCTCTGCCCTGCTTACCAACACGGTCAAAAGGTGCAGCAGTGGCTCTAACACACAGCCCACGAGGGCAATTACAATACTTAAAGTAGCTTTATTGTAGTTATGTGAGTCTTAACTCAGTCAAATCTTAACAAGTAAACATGATGCACACACTCTTTCGAAATAAATAAATGTATTATTTAAGTGAAATAAGTGTACGTAAACTGTTACTCAGTTTGTAGTAACTGTTGCAACTTTGAACATATCTGACTGAATTCCTTCTCTATCTCTCAGGGTACAAAACTATGGATTATTATGGAATATCTGGGTGGAGGATCAGCCCTGGATTTGGTGAGTCTACATCAAAATAAAATAAATGACCTATGTGAAGACAATCTGACCTAAACAGTTTGATTTGTGGTCCATTATGACAGTTCGCCGATGTGTAAAATCTGCGCTATCTTTCAAAGTTAAGCCCCAGGTCACCTTTATGTGCTTATTTATCCACTCCTCTAGTTGGAACCAGGCTCCCTGGACGAAACGCAGATTGCCACAATTCTGAGAGAGATCCTAAAAGGGCTTGAGTATCTGCACTCTGAGAAGAAAATCCACAGAGATATCAAAGGTAAGACTGCCGTGTGTACCGGTGCCTTGTTTTAACAACACTCTTGTAAATAGCTGAATCTTTACAACATGTTCTCTGTCCTCTTGTAAATAATGCTTAAGTGAGGCAAACAAACACAGCGCTTTAATCTGTCACATTTTACACTTTATAAATTCTGTTGAGATCTTTTTAAAATGGCGACAGATGAGTAAGTAGCCTGTTTTGTTTGTTGGCAGTAATAGTACCACAGCAGGCATATTGATGTGGAGAGAGCGATGCAAACAGGAGGTGTATTCAGCTATTTTTTTTTCTGTAATGCGTCTTTAGAAAGATGTGTGTGGGTCTACTGGTCAGAGTTCCCTGTCCTGGGTCTTTACCATGCAAATGCAAACACTTAAAAAGCTTTCAGAAACCTGATTAATGCTCTACAAGACCAAATGATCAAGTTTTGCAACAGTGATCTTTAATTACAGAAAACAGGTTAATGTCAGGAACTCAGAACAATCATATTACAGAAGCATTGTCTGTCTTTCTACACTGATTTTCATTTAAACACTTACTGATATGTGATTCAGCTCATATTTTTTGTCCTCTTGCTTTCAGCTGCCAACGTGCTGCTGTCAGAACAAGGCGACGTGAAGCTGGCTGACTTCGGAGTGGCGGGCCAGCTGACGGACACTCAGATAAAAAGGAACACGTTTGTTGGTACTCCTTTCTGGATGGCACCTGAAGTCATAAAGCAATCAGCCTACGATTCAAAGGTCAGAGTTTACAAACTTTTATTGTTATCACACTCAGGTTTAGTATTGGAAAACAGAGTCACATAGCAGAGTCACTTCCTGAGGTTTCTACCCTTTTTTTTCCCCGGTAAAGGGGTTTTTTTGGGGAGTTTTTCCTTATCCGCTGCGAGGGTCATAAGGACAGAGGGATGTTGTATGCTGTAAAGCCCTGTGAGGCAAATTGTGATTTGTGATATTGGGCTTTATAAATAAAAATGATTGATTGATTGATTGAAATGTACAGTTTCTTGGAGAAAATGCTTTAATTGACAACAGTAAACTCCATAATATTAAATGTAAAAAATGCACAAGGTCATCTGACAATTATTTTGTTCCAAGACATAAGTAAACTTCAATTTACATGCTCAGTGAGTTTGGCAGCTGGATAACAAAAGCTTACTGTAGGTTTAACACATCAGCTGGGTTTCACTGAACATCTGGAGTAGTGGGAGTTTTTCCTGTTGGGCTGGTTGAGCTGTTGGCCAGCTGTGAGTCCAGTAACACCAGTTCAAGAAGGAGCGAGGGGACAGTAAGACCTTTAAGGCAAATATAACAGGTTTACTAACATGCATTGAGTGTTTATATTATTCAGATCAACACAGTGAGGTGTGTCAAACCTGCTTTGGTGAGCTGGTGTCTCTCCGAGGGATAGAAATTTAATGTTGCTGATGTACAGAATTAATGTTACAGACTTCCTGTGGTGAACAAGATAGACAGAAAGTGAGCACATGTGGTTAGGTGAGCAAGAATGAGCTCACAGAGACAAGAGAATATGTAAAAGTGAAACTTTGCTCTTTTTCTGTGCAGTGAAATGTTGTGGTTTAACAGTTAAGTGTGTGTGACGACAGTTAGAGACTGGAGTGTCTACTTAGATTGACCATTAGTGTTTAACTTGTGCCAATTGTTAAAAGAAACAGATGAACAGAATATCAACAAGTAAATAAATAGATATGTTAAAGTAGGCCAAGATTACCAGGGGCAATACATTCTGTAAGTGCATATATAATAAGGATGGTTAAACTGTAGATTAAGGATTACTTTCGCACAAAATTGCACGACCTTGCAATTTTTTTCCAATTACTGCAATGTTACCACAAATTTGACGACTGAAAACTGGTAAAATCTCATTTCATTGTAGAGCTGCGTGCAATGTATTGATCCACTCAGCCCCTCCTTGCCCTGCTCTCTTCCTTTCTCAGTTTATCATTTGACTAGTCCTGCACCTGGGACAAAGTCACACAAAGTTACAGGGATAACGGTTAGCATCATGGCTAACATTACCCAACATTTATTAATGGTTTAATGACTGAGTCGAGCCATTAACACAAACACACGAGCCCCTTTCTTGCAGCACAGAGAAAGGAAATTTTAACACCTTTCATGGTAAGATCACTTATCATTTCAAATGCACAACGAAATTTGACAGACTACTCGAGAAAACCGTACACACATTAATGCATTGAGTAGCTGTTGGAGCTTTTTAACTGTACAAACTATAAAGTGTCACAACAGTTGTCAGGCTGTTGGGAACACACTGGGCTGTCCCTCAACTGACGGTGAAGCTGTTGGGGTTGGGATCCCGTACCCTCTCTTAACTGACAGTGAGGCTTTGAGACGCACAATGGTCTGTCTCTCATCTGATGCTAACACTACTGCGGTGATCTGTAATGTAGCCTGTTCCTATGGATCACTGTCCTTACAATCAGGAAAGCCTGTTTCATCATTGTGGGCCTTGCTGTTGCCTTCTTAATCTTCCTGCCCGGCTCTGATGTTTTATTTATTTATTTTTTTTGTGATTCTTATCATGATAGTTGTTGATAGGCAGTGGCGATCAGTTGTTGCTACCCCCCTCAAATCCACCTCCACCTAAATGCTCATAATGATAGGCTCAGAATCCGAGTCAGCGTTGTGGCATTGTAACTATTTTTGCAATTTTCACTTGCACCTGCAATCTCATTTCAAAAAATGCCTAAAAATACTGCGACATACATTGCAGTTTTTTTTTAGAAAAGCTGCAGTGAAATCAGGCATTTCAGGTCACAACAGTCACAAAAACAGCCCACGAAATCCTGGAGGGACTGAGAATAAATAAGTGGTTAAAGCTACTCCAAGTTCAGTACAATTCCTAAAAGTGCCCAGCTGGAATTAATAATAAAGAATTGGACTTATAGAGATATAGTCTTCACATGTTCATTCCTATAAGGATCATTGCTACATTTATAATAATTGTAAACTTGATTTTATACCACTTTTCTTAACAATGTTACAAAGTGCTTTATGAAGGAAGATGAAATCAACAAGGCAGATAAAAGGAGAGTAAGGCCAAAGGACAATAAAAAGGGTAAAATCAAATAAACAAGAAAAGAAGTTATAAATAACTTCATATTCCAAACATTTCCAAAAGCTTTCACAAAGAGAAAAGTTGAAAGAAGAGATTTAAAAGAAGCTACAGAGTTACTTTGTCTGAGTTTGGTAGGCAGAGAGCTATCATGATCTGAGGGTAACCAGCAGGGCTCCATCCCCTGATCTTACTGGTGGAGAGAGCACATACCAGGTCAATAAATCAGAAATGTATGATGGAGGAAGGCAGTTTAAAGCCTTAAAAAGTGAGTGATAACATTTTAAAATCAATCCAAAAGACATTTAGACTAGAGAGGAGAAAATAATTCAGGCTAAAACACAACTTCACACAAAGCTTGCTTAAACAGTGAGAGATGGAAGGGCGAGGTGAATCATGTAACAGCTGTTTCATGTGAATAGATCCAGCTCAGGCCTTCAGGCATTATCTGTTGTCAGACCCAGGTGGAACATAACCATGCTGTGTCAACACTTAGCGTCAGTATAATGAGTCAACAAATAAAATGGTGAAGAACATCGCCTAAAGACAAAAAAAGGTTTGTGTGAAATCGTCCTCAAATGATATGTAGATTTTGCCCTTCTGTTTTCTTGCTCTGTTTCCTGCTGCGTGCTTGTTTTTTAAGCACTTTCAAAGACTGGTTTTCTACACTAGAAATGGCCAAATACATATTTTTGGAATAACCACAACATGAGTCAGTGCGGCCTGTCAACACCACCACTATGTCACAGTCTTCAGTTTGCAGAGCTTCCTCAAATACGCTCAGGCTGTGAATGTCAGACAGTTTAAATGTCATTTCACACAGCACTGTGTCAGTGTGTGTATTTGTGGGGAAGTGTGTGAAGTAATGCTGCTCTAAAGGTTCCATTGTATGCTCATTTTCATGTTCATACTTGTATTTTGGATGTTACTAAAACATGTTTACATGCTGTAATGTAAAAAAAACAAAACAAACCAAAACGTTTTTTTGCTCATACTGTCTGCCTGAATATACCTGTATTTATGCTCTGTCTGAAACACTCTATTTTAGCACCTTTCTCTTTAAGCCCAGTCCACTCTGATTGGTCAGTGTTTTCAAGTCTTCCTAATCTTCTCTCTTGGCATTTCTGCACCATCATTGCAGCCACGGCCATGACTGTAATGGCACTATAGTGGCAGCAAATTCAATGTTTGTTTACTATGACTTTGGAGTAGAAAACCCTCGCGTCACATACATAAAATGAAGTGGCGCTAATTAAATGCTGCCTCAGTTGGTTCGTTTTTTAGCCACCTAAATAAAGGCCCACCTAAAAAGATCAATATCAGTGTAACTTAACATTATATCTAGAATACTTTTACTACTTTACATTACTGGCGGACAGCCCTTTCTGACGGGGAGGTATCTCAAAGCCACCAGACTTCATTTTAGAACACATGAGTTGTTGGTCTACTGCTGCCTTGACCAGTTAGTAAGGTAAAGTGGTGAAAATATTCCAAATATAGTGTACACTTAAACTGATATGATGGGTTTTTTTTGGCTGCTAAAATAAGTTTTGCTGTGGCCCCTATCTACAGCAGTAACATTACACTGTTAAGCTTTCTTGCCAGTAGATTTGGATGCTCAAGCACTCTATCAAAGCGAAAGAGTACAAGAGATAAGCATGGCAGAAACATCAGATAGGTCAGACCATTGTTTTTAACTATCATTTAACATTACAGTGATGGCTGAAAATGACAACAGAGATAAACAAGTTTGCAGATTTCACATATCCCAGCATTCAGATCAATTGCCAGTTGTCTACCTGCAAGTATTAGCGTGATGTCACAGTGCTTTGTCTAAAGACTGTTGCACTGGAATTGCATTGTGATGTCACAGCTTGGGTCCAGGTTTACTTCCTGTCAGCTGATGTCATTCACATACACTGCAAAACATTCCAACAGGAAATACAAAAGGACCTAAATATGGACTATCTGCATTTCTCCGTGGATTGAGCGTTTTGATACTTTCACAGTATTTATATAGTACCTGTTTTTATATTAATAAAGACATGGAAATAAGATTTTTTTTTCCAAACATGGGACCTTTAATAAGATTGTCTTTCCTGTCCCAAATGTCTTTGTTTTATAGGCAGACATCTGGTCATTAGGAATAACAGCAATAGAACTGGCTAAAGGAGAGCCGCCGCACTCTGAGCTTCATCCCATGAAGGTCTTATTCCTCATCCCAAAGAACAATCCACCAACACTGGAAGGAAACTACAGCAAACCACTTAAAGAATTTGTTGAAGCCTGTTTAAATAAGGAGCCCAGCTTTGTAAGTGTAAAGGATTCTTGTTCATTCTGTTATCAGTAATATGGCACAGTAATGTTTTAATGTTCACTGTTAAGTGTGTTTTGTGTGTCTTCTTTAGAGGCCAACTGCCAAAGAGCTGTTAAAACATAAGTATATTGTAAGGCATGCCAAAAAGACGTCCTATCTGACAGAGCTGATTGACAGATACAAGAAGTGGAAGTTACAGCAGTCTCGGGATGGATCCAGCTCGGATGAATCTGATGAGTAAGTTGTCTGCACCATTTCCTGACGGGGGGCAAGACGTGGCAAATTTACACTCTGAAGCCAAAACTAGCAACTCTACGTACGCCTGTGACAATCCTAAAATCCTGTGTGACTGTAGGGAGCCAAACGGCCAGGCTTCTGGTGGAGATGACGCTGCCAATGATGACTGGATCTTCAACACCATCAGAGAGAAGGACCTGAAAAACTTTCAGAACGGGGCAGCACAGCCTGCTGAGCTCGAAAGGACACAGGTGAGACCATGTGCTGTTGTCGAGGAAAAAGTAATACATTAGTAGTTGAGCACCTCTCATCTTCTGTGTGTCGAAAGGTCTCTCAGATTTCTCTTTTAACATTAAGGTCATCTTTTTTTGTTCAGGTGCAGGAGAGTCCAAAGAGGCCTTTGTCACAAAGCTTATCAACAATCTTTTCTCCATTGTTTTCTGAGGTAAGAGCACTAACAAGTTACCCTATGTCAAAGCATTCATCATCAATAAAGGCATGATTTAAAATAAAACCCATTGTAAACTGTTGATTCAATCAATGCCTATCACACAAAATGAAATCTACTGTATGTTCAGATGGATATATTTTGTCAGAGGCTACTCTACAATAAATATGAAGGAGGTTCACGTCCTATTGTTATCTAAAAGATGTCATTTTTGCAGCTGAAAGAAAAGGGTGAGACGAGTAATGGCAAGCCGGAGGCTGCAGAGGAGCTGCGGGAGGCCATTTTCCTGGCAGAAGAAACACACCCAGGGATCTGTGACTCCCTGGTAGCTGAACTAGTGCAGAGACTTCAGAGGTAGGCAGGGTTCATCTTACCATAATATTTGATATGTATTTCTTTCTACAAAAGTCCAATGAATTTGCATATTTAATTTCTAGATGTGATGTATGTATGTGTGTCTTTTAAATGGATCATTAAGGGCACATTTGACCGCCTGACCAGAAGTGGAAAGACAACTAGAATATTGTACTCAAGGAAGAGTACTGTTACTTTTAAGGAATTTACTCAAGTAAAAGTAAAAAGTAGGTCAGATAAAATGTACACTGAGTAAACGTTACTGAATGGTGCAACTTAAGACTACAAAATATATTTCATGAAGTGTCAACCTAAACACTAGTTAAAAAACATAAGCAACATGATCCCCTCCTTCAGGGACAAAACTCAGACAAAAATGACCAGATATTACATAAAAAGTCTATGGACACTGGTGACGGGTGCAAAAGGCTATATTTAGCTACACACATTAATTAACTTGACACTTCTTATAGAATCAAAAGCAGAATAAATTAATCACCAAGGCAGAAAACACAAAGCTGTCTGACATTGCACTGCACAGCAGCTGCAGCCACAAACATATTACAGCAAAGGAGAGACTGCTCAATTTTTATACAGCAGGTGGGGCATACACACAACATAACCCAGCAGTTGTTGACATTCTCATCTGGAGAGTGAGTTAAAAGAGTCTGATCCTCACACTGTGAGAAATGAGCGCAGCAAAATGTTTTTCAATCTGCTCTACGTTCAACTCTGCTTGTTCATTTTCAAAGCCTAATATAATCAGTCCAGTCAGTGTCTCTGTCCCAGTATGACCAGTTCACTCAGCTTCTCTAGTGTCCAACAGCTGTTTCTGTCAACAGCAGAAAGTCCCCACACACCTCACTGAAGGTGGAATGGTTATCAGTGAACGCAGAGGACACTGCTGGTGGATCCACCGTGAGCATTTTAATATATGAGCCATTTTGCTCACTGGTTGGAGTATTAAATTAGTGATGAATTAAGGTAGATACCTATTTTGACTATGCTGAGGTATAGGCCCTTTTAGGGCTGACGTCACAATGACGTAATTTTATTAGCTGGAAGCAAAACATGACTCGCCAGGAGTCATAGGAGTCATAAAATGTCATCTTGTTGTGTCATTGGGAGCCAGAATAGAAGGAGTCATGACTTAAAACTTAAATGTTATCACATACCAGCTGCCACTGCCCGTCAACAAAAAGAAGATATCTATGGTTAAATGCGGTCAAACAATAGGACTGGGCGGAGGCATTCCTGTGCACCTAATCAGAAACTGGGTAGGTTTTAGGAGGAATACTGGTTTTCTCTCTAATGCTAACTTTTTAGCACATTGGCTAACATTAGCTTCAATAGCAAATAAAATGAAGGAAACTAAGATTTGCATAGTAATCAAACACAAAGCCAGCCATCCCACCTCAGGCAATCCTGTCCAATCATCCATCCACTGAGGGAGAGCATACAGGTCGGCCAGTCTGGTCCTGCTGGTCAGTGTTTACTCTTACAAGTAATACCTGCGGTCCCAGACAGTGAGTGACCTGACATGGTGCGTTTGTAAATTCAGTCTGATGCTCTACACTAAAACGAGAGCCCTGTTGGTCGGAGAAACGGAGCGTTATATTTCCATATGAGTTCATGAACGGTTGAGTTAATCACACATTCACTCTGCTCTGTGCTCTGCTGTTCCGAGAGTGCGGAGCTTTGGATAACCAAATGACACTTTCCGACAGTGTTATGAATTTACCCATGGTCTAGTTTGTGCTAGAGGGGGCTGGAGAATTTTTTGGTCTCCAGCTAAGCCCCGCCCACCAAAAAACATCATACTGTTTACTAACAGTAAAAGAGTCATAATAATATATATCAACCATAACCCATACGGACATGATCCTTAAATTGATTGTGTTGGTGTGCTTTTGTAATGTTCAGTAAATACTAGCCACACCTTGGGTGTAACTGCACCCTTCCCACCCCTCGACACTCGGCCAGTGAAGGTAAATATATACAACAAGTATCTCTTTAAGTGTCAGCTGAGTGGACTGTCGCCTCTATTGAGCCCCGCCCTCCTGCAGTCACAGAAACACCTGCAGATTCTTCTCTGCTGCAGCTGCTCATTTATCTCCTTTCACCTCTTCAAGTGTCCTTTCAGTTTTATCACAACTGATTTACATTACTTTCATTTAACTCTGAAACAGAAGTAATGTAAAATGTAGCGAAGAACGATACTTGTGATGGAAAAAAAAGTGAAACTGCTGATTTTTAAAATACTTGAAAAAGTACAAGTACACAAAAAATGGCTGCTACAGAAAAAAGAGGAAATGTAATTTGTAACTTCCCAGCATCTGACAGTCTACTGGTCCATCAGTCCAGTGCTTTGGTTCACAGTGAAATGTAGGACACAGGACACAGGACACAGGAAAGTAGCTATTGATCCATCCAACACCTTGCTATTGTGTGATCCAAGACATTTAGTCTAGTCTTTAAAGTGAGGACTGTCTAGACAGTAAATATTAACCCTTTTTTTCCTGATATTTGTCAGGTTTTCTGTGCCACAGGCAGCTGCCAGTCACTGAGAGGAGCTACATCCAGCTCTGCTCTAATTTTCCACCCTGGTGGCAGCAGTCAGATCTTTTCCTCTGACCTCCACAGCCGGGATGAAGTCTCCCAGGAAGGTCTCCATCACTCATTTGCCTGAAGCAAATCCTGGCCTACTTAATGTCTGTTTATACGCTAGAACACCACCAGAGGGTCCTATTTAGGACAGTCAGTGGCCAGCCTCTCAGCTGCCACTATGACTGCCACCTGCTGTAAGATGTCCCTTCTCAATACCTCCTTCACAACTGTTTTTTATTTTAATGGTGGAGTCAGCTATCTTCTTTCTTCAAGGACTCTTTGAGTTATTGGTTTTGGTGAGTTTGTGGCTTTTTCACAAAGGTTTACACTCAGCATCCTTTTTTGGAGAAAGTACCTTGCTTAATAAATTGTGTGCATGTGCGTGTGGCTGTGCGAGATATCCTGTGAAATGTGCAGTGAAGAAGAGTGACGAGTGGGTTGAAGCATTCTATTGAAAACTCAGGTATCCTGCTTTAAGTGGATTGGGTCCTCTGGGAGACGGAGAGAGCTCTTTAGGGTGGTTGTACAGCCTTGTAAATAAGCTAATTTCTACAGATTCATGAAAAAATAATGGAGCGTTTGTAATGGAACCACTGTGTACAAATGGCCAAATGCAAACTGTAGATAATGGTTGTGAGGTAAATATTTTGAGAGACTAAAATGGCCATACATGAGATTGCCTTGCCTTTCTACTTGTTCTTTTGTATATCAGTCTTTGATTTCTCCAGTTGTAAAACTTTTTAAGTACTCATCCAGTGAATGAAAATGGCTGCCCTCTATCATGTTTTACTAGTGATTTATTATATATTTCTTAATGCTCTTTAAAGTTTTGGTTTCATTCTCTATGCTGCGGCTGTAATATTGTCGGAGAATGTAAAAAACAAAAGGCTGGATCGATGAAGCCCCCGCCAGTTTTTAACACTGGATGCTGTGTTGCCAGCCCCGATTCCACAAGGCCTCGAGATGTGTTGGTTTGTTGGACTTTGCCTCATCCTTTTTTTTTTCTTTTCTTTTCTTTTTTTTTTCTTTTTTTTCTTTTTTTTTTGCTGTGTGTTTTTGACTCGTTAGATAAACTGAGGTTTCGTCCATTCATTCCATTAACAGGGCAGTGCCATCATCTAGTTTATAAAATCAGCAGACTCTGTTAGTCTTCCTAGGAGCTGCAGTGGTACTATCTATCTCCTCAGCGTACCTACAGCTTTAATTGCACTTCAAGTATAAATGCCTTTTGACTATAAACAAAGTAGCCATAAAACAGTAGCACGAGACTTACAGTATTTTGCAGGTATGCTATCTGGGACAAAAAGAAAAGTCCGCCTGAAGTCTCACAGCTTGGACTCTGGAGTTGGTCATGCAGTGTATTATTTGCCTGGCTGTATCTTTCCATTCGGACTTGTGAGATGTTTTTTCAGTTGTACAGTAAATGCATATAGACAAAGACTTCTCACATAGTAGATAACACTGCTCTCAGATGTACATATTAACATAAAGCTAGGAGGTGTTCAGAGACCAGCGGCATTGCTACTACTTCTGACTGTAGTTTTAAAAGGAATGTGCATGACAGTATAACAGTATAAGCCTGTTGGTTGGCCTGAGCGGTATGCGTTGTAGCACACTGCTGCAGGACTGGAGGAATGTTGAGTCCTGAACAGAGTTGAATCAGCCTTAGAGTATTTGTGATGAATGGGATGAATAGTATCAGCTTTAAAATGTTAGATCCAATGCTTTTGTTGTGATTTCTTCTTGTTTCCCCCCTCTGGCATTAAAATGCATATGCAGCAATACTTTTAAAAGACAAATGATACAAGATCAAAGATATTTCTTTCATTCCTTGCCAGTATGATGCATGCATGAACAAATTGACTCATTTTTCTTCTTCTCAGATGAGAGGGATTTTCATCATTCTTACAGAGTCAGATGATATATTTGCCACGGGCGATACACGGTACACATTAAACAAGTTAAGAGAGAGTTCAGCATTTGGGGAACAGATGATTTGCTTTCTTGGGGAGAGCTGGATCAGAAGATCAGTCTTCTCTCATATTTGTCCATTAAATATGTGGCTAAGCCATAGACTGTATATAAAGCTGGACGACACGTCTTGTCATCTTGTGCTGGTGACATCATTTGGAGCCAGAATCTGTGCAGTAGCAATCTCCATTCTGTCGAGTTCCTGCCCATACACCCATCTGAGCAATTGTGGACAACACCACTAATTGCGAGCACACCGATTGGCACACAGCTGTAAAACATGACGGCTAATCCCCTTTTTATAGCATCAAATAACTAAATGAAATCGAACGTATTAGAAGAACAAACACTTGACCTACATCAGCGTGATAACAACAACTTGACGTGCACTTCAAGTTTTTAGTTTGGCTCATGTGCCATACACTAACATGGAGGGGGCGTGGTTTATGACCTATACTGCAGCCAGCCACCAGGGGGTGACTGAGATGTTTTAGCTTCACTTGTCCAGAGCCGTCATGTCTTCCGTCTTTATATACAGTTGATGGGCTAAGTAATTAGCTTAGCACAAAGACTGGAAATGGGGGAAACAGCTAGCCTGGCTCTGTCCAGAGGTAACTAAAGTTGCCTACCAGCACCTCCAGAGTTTACTAATAAACATGTCGTTAGTTTAATTTGTACGAATAACTGAAGTGTAAAACAACAGTTAGGACCATTTCTTGGCTTGGAACAGTAACTTCCTGAAGTGTCTGCTGGTTACCTAGCAACAGAAAATAAATGCCAGTTGCGTTGCTAGCTGAACAATAATTTAATTTCCTGTGAAGACGAGCTGTATCTATCATCTTGTATAACTCTCTTCAAGAAAGCGAATTTCCCATAATGTCAAACTTTTCTTTTAACCCATTTAAACAGAACATTTCCTCCTAATTTCTCTTTAAAGACACTATTGTTTTCCCTTCTGCTTGGCAATCGGAAGACACAGTTCAATGGGTAAAATTCAATATTCTGTTTAAATGAGTAGAAATTTGTTTACCAAATCGAGTAAAGGTACAAGGCTCAATGATTTCCATTTGCACAGTTTTCCTTTGTGTTCTTTCTGCTCTTCTGTGAAAAATGACTCTCCATTTAAACTTCTCATGTGAAATGTGCCATGTAAGCCCTCCATCCCAAAATCTCAAACAGACAAATTCAATACAGTTTGCACCTTCTACATGGTCTTTTATGACTCTTTACCTTTTTATGTGTTGCACTCTGCAGATTCTTTTTAAAATGGTACTTAAAGGGACAGTTTATCCCCAAATTAAAAATGTATGTTTTTTTTTTTTTTTTTGTTTGTTGTTTTTTACCAGAGGGTTGTACTATGAAGCAAGTTCAACAGAGCCAGGCTCTCTTTGCCTGAGCTGTCTTAACAAACCCTAAAGCCTCATTGAATTTTATCTATGATAAATACAAATAGACTAATCTATAAACTGCAGTGTAAAAGAGACTTCAGGAAATCAGGACCAGTCATAAAAACTTCGTCGAAAGTGGTTAACGTTATGGTTTGGTTTCATGAAATGACACTGCTTGTCATATATAAGTAAATGTCATCCTAAGAAATAATATAGTGAACTATTAATGTATGCTACCTGTGATTTTGTATTTGCGACACATACAATAAGTTCCACTGTAGTTGCACAGCTTTGTTGGTTGGCATTTGAAACATTTAACTCAACAAGTTGGTTAAAGTGCATTTGTAATGTGTTCATTTAGCTGAGAATCTGCATTGCTCATTAGGGCCTGGCCGATACGGATTTTTTGGGGCCGATGCCGATTCCAATATTATGGAATAAAAAAATCTGATAACCGATATATCGGCCGATTAAATTTTTACGTTTTTCAATTTAAAAAACCCCAAAATACCTGCTTTTGATGGCTTAAATATTGTTCAAACGCTGGTTACAAAGATATAAATTGAAGGAGATATAAATATAAGTGTTCTATCTATGGCTATATATGGCTATAATTGGCCGATTAAATCGATGGGCCGATAAATCGGTCAGGCCCTATTGCTCATATTGAATATTTACATGTGATGCAACTCAAAACAGTAGAGAAAGGCGCTTTTAGCTGATTTCAAACCGAAAACTCGAGATTAAATTTGCAGCATAAGTTACCATAGAAATCTGGCCAGGTAAAAAGAAAGCCACCTTCGTAGGATGGAAGACCTTTAGATTCAACATACCTCGCTAACCCACTGATATTGCTTCATGGTACACCCCTGTGTAGTTCTATTTATCAATCCAGATTGTTTTGGTGCGAGTTGCCGAGTATTGGAGATATCGGTCGTAGAGATGTCTGCTTCCTGTCTAATATAATGGAACTAGATGGCACTTGGCTTGAGGTGCTCAAAGCGCCATAAAGATAGATTTGAGAAATTCAACAGGAATGTCTTTTTACAGAAACCATGACCTGGTTACTCAAGATAATCCACAGATTTTGTGGTGAGCAGTTTTATGTAGGAACTTTTTTCTTTCTACAGAACTACACCCACCAACTACATCACTGTGAAGAAGGAAGCGTGCATTGGCTCATGAACGAGAGTCGACATGTAAACATTAATGCCGTCTCCCTCGGTTGAGCTGTAACGTTAGCTAGCTCGGTGTTGCTAGGTAAGCTAGCAGTAGATGCACAAATCCTTCTGCATGGTGATACAATTGGCGATTGTAGTTCAGTAGAAAGAAAATAATTCCGACATGAAACTGCTCACAACAAGGTCCGTGGATTATCTTGAGTAACCAGGTCATGACTTCTGGAAAGAGACATTACTGCTGATTTTTTTAAATGCTTTTTCCCCTCTCTCACTATCTTGATTAATAAATGGCACTACAGGTAGACTAAGAGGAAAAACATGTATTTTTGATTTTGAGGTGAACTGTCCCTTTAAAAAAAGGCTACAGTATAATGTCACAATAACACCAGTTTGATTTTCTTTTTCCCCCCTTTGTGTGTTGTATGGCAATAAAGCAGTGTGATCGCCAGGAGTCATTTCTTAGCACAAGTAGGCATATATTCTATTAAACTATTTTTATAACCCAAAAGAGCAGTATTATGTAATAGAGGGAGTAAAAGTTTGGTTCTGTGATGTGTTACAGTTTCAGTAAACACTGGATAGCAATCACTTGAAATGTACGTTTCATTTTGTGTGACTTTGCTGACAGTTTATAGTACAGTATACATGTTTGCTAATTCAGGACAGTGCTGTTGGATTTACTGAAGGTTGTCAAATGATTAAGGAAAAAGAATAAAAAATCCAGTACAAATTTAATGAATAGTTTTGACATTGTTTGAGTCATACATTGTAATACCTTATTTAAATTTGCTTTCCTCTGATTCAGAACAGTTTTAAGTGCAGCTGTCAACCCACAGTACCTCTAGAGAATATCACCCTTCTTGCATGTTTAAGTACTGTGTCAGTCTTAATTGAGATTCACTTGAGCACAATAATCCATGATAATGGAGGTTTTTAAACTGCACATCATTTAAAAATCAAGAGACTGAAATATATGAATTACTGAGTCAAATACTCAGCCTTTCTGCAGTGAAATTTCTGCACAAATGAACGCTGTAGATGCAAATTTAAGTGGAACAAAGATGGACCCTATAGACAAACAATACAGTGTAACTCGAGCAGGGAAAAACAAACACATTTCAAACAAAGCTTTAACTGCTGTTGAAGGTATTTCTATGAATCATTGACTCAAAGGTACTGACTTTTTTGTGGTAATGCTCCAAAATGTGAGAAATGTAACGGCTCAATGACCACCAAAAAGGTGTCGTTCTACTATATGGTACATCAAAACAAAGCTTTTAAATATCATGTGAACAATGCTCCAAAATGTACACATTACAACATTACACAAACCCTATTTTTAGGATTTTGTCAAGGACCTGATCCGAATTTTGTATTTAGAAGTTGAGTAATTGCACAATATTTTGGATCTAAGCAATAAAACTTACATTTTTTTCTTTGTATTTTCCTAGTTGGAGGAAATGTCTGGTATTTACGGGAATATTTCCGGGAATATTTCAACCCCAAATGACCATTTGTCCATCGATTACTCACCCACCCCATGCTCCATTCAAATTCATGAGGAAAACTTTAATGACTGTGAACGAAGAATCCAAAAACTGAAAAAAAAATTGTGTATGAGTTTGTAAATGTTTGACATAGTTTTGCTGTTAAATGCGATCACCTATGACTTCAATTTATCAAGACTTTTCTCAGTTTTTGGATTCTTCATTCATGTGGTTCAGATTCTCATGTTTGACATTTCCAGTTTTTATTAATTTTTTTATTTAAGCTATCCATATATGCTATTTTTTTGGTACCTGTATCTGGAGCTTTTGATCATATCACATGGTCCTCATCTGCAGTTGGATTAGCCCAGTTGTCATTTAATTGTTGACGTTTCAGTTCAATTCTTTCTGAAAACTTAAGCACTTCTTGTTCATGTTGGCTTAAAAGTCGACATCTACTGTGACAGCTACGCCGACAATCTGCTGATGAAGACCATGTGATGTGATTGAAAGCTGCAGAACAGAAGATGGGCTGTCATGACTCAAATTTCTAAATTTGAACATGAGTAGTTGAATTTGAGCTACTTTAATATAGTTTTTGATATTTTTGAAAACAGTTTTCTGTCTTAATGTATTAACTTAAAGGAAAAACCCCCAAATGTATATCAGTTACTCTGTGTTACGTTGAATCTAAGACTCATTTATCCAGTCGTTTGCTCAGTACTAGCTAAACAGACAGCCCTTTATGACAGGAAACTGAACTTATCTATTC